CAGTGGCTTGGGAGGCCTCATGCTCGCGGGAGCTGCAAAGCCATTCATATTTCTTTGAGTTGCGATTATGCTCACTCTTTGGATTGAGCTTTGCAAGAAAGCATTGATGCTTGCTATCATGGCGTGACATTGTGTTGGAATGCATGCTCTCAATCTTGTCCTGAACATGGTCTACCTCCTGCAGAATATCTGACTTTGCTTTCTTCTTCTTTGAGCCCCCCCACACTGTTTGGCAGGGAGGTCTGCAGGGTAGGCGAGCCAAGGGGGGTAGTGTTGTGAGTTGTTGACAAGGGTGTCGAGATGCTGCGGGACATTTCCAACAACTGTCTGTGTCGCCCCCCACGGCTGGATGGCCTCTGTGCGCCGAATGCTGCACGACTGTCGTAAAACAATGCTGGCAACTTTGAGGGCACTTCAAATGGGCAGGGGGGTCAGAAGGAGGAGATGGGGATGTTGGGAGCTGGTGTTTCTTCCCTGTGGCTCAAGGAGGGCTCTTGGGGGTGCCCGCATCATCGTCCATCATGTTGTCACTGTTGAGGGGGGGGGGGGGGGCAGAAAATGGGCCAGCACTCTCTGGATGCAAGTCATTATCATCAGCGGGTCCAAAATCATCGTGAATAGTGATGTCAGGGGAATTATTAAGGCCAGGAAGGTGAACAGGAGGGCTACTGGGGGGAGCAGAAGGTTGGAGAAGCTGTGGATCAATCGGGGGATTGCCAGTGTAGGGGGAGTATGCATTGGGAGGATATGCAGTCGGAGGATATGCGGTGGGGGGCAGATGTGCATTGGGGGGCAGATAAGCACTGGGGGGCAAGTGTGTGCTGGGCGGTGGATATGCATTGGGGGAGGGCTGAGTGCCAGGGGGATATGCAGGGGAGGGGGGGAGTGATGACTGAGCAGGGGTGCTAAAGGACATGGAGGAACCAGCCCCAACAGTGGCACCAAAGTGCATGGAGGGACCAGCCCCACCATGTGGCCGGATAAGTGAATACAGGGCACCTGCATGATCAAGGCCTGGCTTAGACAAGTGCGTCTTCGCCGCCATGGAGGGATTGCTGTGCCAGATCGCATCCAGATCCGAGTACCATGGAAGGTCCACATGAACTTTTTCTACAAAAATAAATCAGCCACCAAGAACTAAAAACCAGGGATGACAGACTCACCTAGTAGATTTTGTGCAGATGCCCCATCAAGTGGCACAATGCCAGTGCCTGTGGCGGTAAATTGGCTCTTGTTCTTCTTGTATCTTGTTCTGAGTCTAGATGTATTTAATTAGTGTATGTGTGAACAAAAAAAATGAGAGTGCTTACCCTGAGATGCGAATTGGCGACTGAATCACGAAATTTCTTCTAGGTTGTGATGGTATGCGGGGCCATACTTGATGTGATTGGCAAAAATGAGGTGGGCAATGACACCATGGATATCACCTTTGTCCCTGCCAGAGGGGCCATCATCAATGGGAGACATCTTTTTCTTCCCATTGGAATAGAACAAGATCCTACAATCAGAGGGGTGAGTGGTTAGGTAGTTCACCAAGACATCAGTGAGGGCATTTTCGCTTTGCCAATGAATTGACATCCTGGGTCCAGGGGCTTCTGGAGGGGCATTGGGTTATCCTTTGGAGGTGGATTCTTGAGGATCCATTCTCCTTGAGTGCACTCGAGCGTTGGCTCTAAGTCATGCAGAACAACAAACACATTGGCAAGCAGGCATGTTTTAAAACTCCGCCGCGCCATGCCGGCCTGACCTTGAATCATAGTCCATCAAGGCCAATTTTTTGATGCCTTTAGCTGGTGTTTGAAGGGTTTAGCCATGCTCTACCTGAGTTTCCAAAAAGTTTTGAAACTTATTTTGAGTACCACTAATAATTGTCTCTGTTACTGATCATGCCAGCATGAGTTCAGCATTAGTACTTGCAGGTTTCAACAAAGGTTCAGGACTGGACTTCAGAGGCACTAGCTCCACTAGTGACCCATTGTTGCTTTATGGTTGCTGGAATGTGACAGTGGTGTCCAACCATGGTGAGGATGTTGTCCGAAGAGAGTGTCGAGTGAGAAAGTTGTGCAGTCCAGCACCATTTGGGGGTATTTCGCCCAACCAAGTACTTGTAGTAGGCGGGACCCTTTTGTTTGTACCAGCTCCACAAGTAAACAAAAGCAGTGAATGAACAAAAATGGATTCTGGTCTATCAATATGAAAGTAGCTGTAAGTGCAAAAGGTGATGTGTGTGAGTACCGGGAACTCGACGAACAGCAAATATGATGGTTCGGATTCAATTGCAAGTCAACCGGCTCGGTTATTAAAAATCAACTTATTACCGGTGACCAACATTGTAAGCGCCCGTTCTATACCCCCATCCATCCGTACAAGTTGACCTAAAATGACCTCTAGCCCTAGGCTTAGCTCCAAGCGCATCAAACTCGAGTCGTCTCCTTCAACTCCGCGATTATCAAACGATGCTTCGACTTTGAATGACGAAGACCTCGGTGATGATCACTGTGTCATTTGTCTGCAACCTTTAGTAGACCGAACTGTCATCCCTACCTGCTCCCATGAGTTTTGCTTTGAGTGCATCTCGATTTGGGCAGGTGAGCATCTTCCGTTTCTACTTCACTCATCGATGACCGAGTTTCCTAGAGCAATCGCGAAAGTGTCCCCTGTGCTCTCAATTGATTGGTGAATATATTATCCATCATATCCGCTCACAGTTCGACTATCAAAAGCACTATTTGCCACCACCACGTTCCTCGTCACCCCAGCTCCTCCCCGACAGGTGAAACTCGTGTACGAGTCGCCCGACGAGCACGTAGGGATCGCTACTGGGGTCGCAGTGATCGTCATGATGCTGATGAACTCGAACGAGCGATCGCCAAAAGACGTTGGATATACCAGAATCATCTTTATGCCAAGGTATGTGCTTCCGATTGCAATTACACACGAATCTCATCTCGCCACATATTAGCATGTCGCGTCGAACTCTTTCACCCGATACCGTCCTTACCCCAGCCCAGCCCAGTTCGCAGCATCTCTAGACATGATGAGTCGGGCCACCATCTTTCTACGTCGTGAACTGCGTGTCTGGCCGAATCTTGATGTCGAGGTAAGTTGATTGTGGGACACTTTGCAGGATTTACTCATGTCGCTCCCTGTTGCATTGCTGACATTTGTTCATACTAGTTTCTCACAACGTTCATAATTTCTCTCATGAAATCGATAGACATACGAGCTGAATCCTCTATCAAACTTCTCGCCGAGTTCCTAGACCTTGATACTTCCTACATCGAGGGTCAGAGGCATCCAAACGCTGAACATTTTGCACATGGTCAGTGGGATCTTTCGGCCGCGATTTAACTCTGTACTGCTTCAACTCATTGACTTGCGCTAGAAATTTACTGTTATATACGGAGTGGCCGTGACCTATCAATTTATGACACTCTAGTTCAGGTATGACCCTTTCTCGGAACGAACGCGAGGATCAGCGCTCAATTTGGGCAAGTATGATACCTCCCCAGATCCTCCTCCCCTTGAGCAGGAAAGAGATAACCGGTGGTGTTACGAGCCCCGTTCTCGATCCCGGTCTCCTCATCACCGTCATCACCGGTCCCAAACTCGATCTCGATCTCCGTTATCTCGACCTTCTTCCTCAACCCTGCGTCCCGAGCACAGAAGATCTCCTTCCGCGGTCTACCGTCCGGAGAACTCTTCAGATCATCTCTCCTCAAATCGCAGACATCGCCGACGAAGTCGCAGCCCAGCTAGCGAGCATCGAGATATATCTGACACCCCGAATAACCAACAGAATCTCCTTGACGACGCGCAGGAGCAGCTGATGAACAAATCTGCAAAGGTGAAAGGAAAAGAGCCGGAACGTAATCACACACCTCTGCGGGGCGGGAGTGAGCATTACTCGAGTAGCACGCCGCCACGCACATCCGTTGAATTCGTACCGAACGCTGTTGTCGAACCCCAACAGATAGCGGAATCATATACCTCCGGAAATAAGAAGCTCAGTACACCTCCTGTAGAGTCCGGTCCTAAACACACCCTTGTTGCCCCCGCATCCAAGGCGCCAGTTCATGTTCCAGTGGACATCAAAATGATTGACGTCAATCCAGAGCCTGCAGCTTCTACATCACGTAAGCGCCCAAGCACGCTCGGTCGTCCCCCTCGAAACCGTACGTTGCTAGCATCAGTCCAGGCCCACCTCTCCCAACCCACAACATCGCGATCAAAGCATCACGCAAACACAAATGCGCGGAAAAACGAGGCCACCCCTCAATATTTGCCCCATCCATCACGACCAGCCCGAGATACCCGTGATGGTGGTGGTGGTGATACACCTGCCCTTCTTTCGCGATTGCCTAGCCCCCCCTCCAACGCGCCGCCCGCTTCTTTATCTTCACATTCTTCTCTCGGGCGGCGCTCAGATGCATCCACGCCTCTCGGGGGAGAAAATACACCGGCGGTAGGAAACCAAGGTCTTGAAAGAGTCCGAAGCTTGTCTGCCGATCCCATCACTAAAGGTACCGATGAAGAGAATTTGTTTGCAGGAGGGAAAGTTGTGGTTCGTCCGTGCAGTACGCCAAACGAAGGCACAAATAAAAACAGAACCAAAGAAGAACAGCAACATACTATTACCAATGCAACTTCGCCGTCTTCTATCATCGCTGGCGTGTATCATGCCTCTCTATCACGACGAGCGCCAAACCCAAACCCTATTTCATCGCCGCACAACTCTAATCATGTTGATTTCCTTTGGGATGTGGCGGAGCATAGCCGGCGTGGCAATCAAGAAGTCGCGACATGTACATATGCGAACAAAATAACCGCACCTTCGGTACATACTTCCACGGATATGCGGGTAGTGCTCTTGCAGAGACTTGAAGAGGAGCAACAACTCGCTCAGAGAGACGCGTCGACCTCCACCTCACACTCTACGTCGCCCCCAACGACGAGTCCCCTTGGTGAAGAAACTTCTGCGCTAGAGACGAGGCTGCGAACACGGGCTCTACTGCGCGTTCGTCTCGCGGCGATCAAAAACGCTTCAAATACAACTCTGGTTGAAACATAATTGATTCATCATGCTGCATGGGGAGGGGGACAAATAGAGGGCGGGGGCATTAGTCGCAAGACCGTGGGGTACGTCCTCACCCGGCCACCCAGTCAATGGATGGTTCAATTGAGGAGGACGGACCCGACAGCTAGTACAGCGAACTAAATTGTTATTATTGTCATTGGATTGCATGGATTGACGTCTAGGTGGACGAATCGCAGTGCCGCGCGGTAACGGAGTTTACCCCGTCCGCCGCCGCGTTCGTTTACCTTTTCCCTTTCAATAATGGTTAATGGCTCCGCGCATGCCTGGATCTTGTGGTGCCTTCTCAAAGAGTCGCACCGGGTAATGAATTATCATCAACGGCTAAAATTGAGGGGTAATGGGTAGTGGTATCAAATCGGTAGTGTTGGTAGAACTATAGAGTTCGGTATGCTAGAATTAGATGCATTGATGGCAGGATGCTAAAGATAGCAATGATAGAGATAGTTCTGTGAAGATGGGGAAGCGCTGGAAAGGAATGACATACAAATGATAAAAGAACAGTGGTTATAAAGGCTGTACTGAGATTAGTATGACGGAGTTCCGTAGTAGACGATTAAGACGCGAGAGATGATAGGAATAAAAAGGGTGTGGCAACGATCGAACAGACAACAGTAATGGAAACGAGAGCGGGGAAAAATGAACGAACGATTAAATTGTACGTTTGTAGGGTGTCTTTGGGGTAAAGAGCGCGTGGTATATCTGGCTTGTTTGGAAAACTCATCATTTTTTTGTTCGTAGAGTGCGTGAATTTTTCAATCGTGAATCGAAATGGGCGCAAAAAGCGTCAGCATCAGCATCATGCACGGGTAGGGGAGGGGCTATGAACGGTTTGGGCGGGGTTCAGTCATCGTCTGAGCGCATGCCGCTGTTGCCTGCGGATGATGGTTTGCATGCAGGGTACCCTCGAGGATCGATTAGAGTATTGAACGGACGAGGTAGCGACGATGAAGTGAGACGACGTTCGTCTGATGCATGATATTCCCTCCTGCGACCCAATTCCGGGGAGACATGTGGAGCAAAGCGGTCACGAGATCCAGGGGAGAAGCCCCCTAGCGCGAATCGCGTGGACCTCGACGGACTCGAAAACGACGCAAATTCGGGACGCGTGTATGGTGCGAAGCTATTCGGATCCCACTGTGGCTGCGGTTGTAGCGCAAAGGGGGGTGGGATGCCTAGAACCGTGGAAATGTGGTGTTCTGTGTAGCGTGTGGGCTCGTGGTGGTGCGTGACGCTGGTAGAAGATGCTTGAGAGTGAGGTAGTGGGTAAGAGGACGTTGGGGATACGTAAGGGTTAATAGTGATGCGTGATTCCAAGGCACTGAAGTGGATAGGTGGGAGCATTCGCGAGGAAGGAGGGGACTGTCCGCCCTCGTGCAATAAAAATGGGCGTGGCGCAAGCATGCGCGGAGCAGGTTCGCGTAGCGTAAGGCTGGGGAACTCTTGAAGGCCGCGAGAGCTGGGGTTGGGATCTGATGAGGTGGACTCGGGACTCATAGGTGCGAGGCGGGGATACTCCTCTGAGGATGCGGGGTATGGAGATGTGCGTTGGCCGGGTATACCAGGACCTGAGAGTGAGGGCCCCGATCTAGGCACGCCACGCGAAGCACTTGCTTCTGGGGTGTCAGGCAAAGATTCCGACATAGAAAAATCAGGAGCAGTATGGGAGGAAGAAGCTGATGGCGGCACGCTTGGGAAGGGCCCAAATTGAGCAGGACGCGATAATGGAGCAGAATCACTCTGCGGACGCCTTGCTTTCTGACGCTGGTTCTATTATGAATCAATACGAGTTTAAACGGGAGCGTAGGGGAAACTTACTTGGAACCAGATCTGCGAGTTGAGATTTGTGAGCAATATATAAGATTCACATGATACTATTACATACTTGGACTTTGCGAGCACTGAGACCGATCTGGCGCCCAACCTCCTCACGCATCGCGGTCGTCGGGAAGCGAGACTAAAAGGAAACATCAGACACCCTGGTAAGGTTGGTGTATAGAGAAACATACCTGTGCAAGGAGTGCGTGTAGTACAGCAGATTGGTGGGGAGTCGTAAGAGTGCGTGTGCGTTTCTTCTTAGGAGCTGGCCCAGCAGTAGGAGCAGACTGGTGACTACGTTCTGCTTCTGTTTCATTGTCTGCCATTCCACTTTGAGAAGAAGTGTCTGAAGCAGATGAAGCATGCTCTGCAGTCATATTGCTCCTAGGTTGACCTGTTATATCGTGAGTAGGGTGATGCTCGTGTTCGAAGCGTCGTGGAGGAGGCGTATGAGACTTTGATTGTATATTAGTTGTCGTTTGGTTAAACATAAGAAATAAAAGAATGAAAAAGGTTGAATAACTTTGTTTAATCGATTTTGATTAACAAAACATTGACCTGGAGTAAAATGTAAATGAGAGGAGATAATAAATGAATGGTCGGGTCAAAATTTGGCGGTCGCAGTTGTTAACTTGCGATTTACTTTATTACTCCCCGATTTCCATAACAGCAAAATTACGTGTCACATTCCCGGACTAAAACGATACCGGCATAAAACGGCAAACATTTTATTCACTCTCCTTCATCTATTCCGCCCGCCGTCGTTGCCAACCGAGAAACATACACTACCACAAAGAAAAGTTACAGGAACAATACCCAAACCCGCCCTTATTAAAGGTCCATTAATTCCTAAGAACCTAGAAGAATCATCATTTAAACTCCGTGGCTGTGAAAATGAGTTCGAGAAGCCTTCATTTCACCGAGGTGACGTTTAGTCCATGGGAATCACAATTATCCACTCCAAATCATGAGCAATCATCCTAATAACCAACTATTCACAATCATCTATCATTCCCCGTAATCCTCCGATACCCCAGGTAATCATACGTTGGTACCTGTTGGGACTCTGTCCGAGCTGTCCGAGTTCGTCCTCTTTGTAGCGACGATCGGGACAGTAATCGCCATGACACTCGTAGTAGAGATTAAATATGACGTCCAGGTGGTCACAAGCAGATTGTGGGACGCATCTCCGCAGTCAAACACTTGAATAAATGGCACCCGTCGGGCGGGTGAAGCCGTTTTTCTCATCCGTTGCAAAGTGTCACTCTCGACGGTCGTGACATTGCGTAGTCGTATACGTACATCGAAACTTCATAAGACTTGACATGTGAGTCATCGCAAAAGCTCTCTGCCTAGCGTGGGGGAAATGACTCACGCGAAATACAGCAGTCTCCGACGCTTGCCGATTCGGGGCTCTGGACAATGTACAGGGGGGACGACAAATGAGGATACGCAAGGAACCGCACTGCACAGGTCCTAGAATCGCTCTTATCAGATAGAGCGTAGTCCCTGTCCGACGGTTGTCGTGTCGCTTGTACCTAGTACCTATTAATGTTCAGGAATGCAGTTTGTATACATTGTAGCCTCGTTCCTTGCTACCCGTACATAGTTACTGAGACCTCGATCGCCGCGTATTTAGCTTTCCTATGTGAAGCGTTGCAATGCTCGTCACGATGCCGGTCCGAAGACGATGAGAGCGGACAGTCAGACACGCGGGTAATACTAGATAATAGTGAAACATCCTCATGCAGGGACGATGCCGATAGTAATCGGCGGCAACCACCCTATAGGCTCCTATAGGTCCCCGCGCCACGATACGTTGATCAACCTGTGGAAAAGGAAAGTATTATCAACCCTGAAGAATGCCTCGACGACAATGGTGAAATTTGAACCCGGTTCCGAGGCGGTGACTGCAGAGTTCAAATACGTGTTGATAATACGTAGTCCATTTGAGAGTGATGAGTCTTGGTTCGGGATATACTCCGCGGACACCTAGTTGAGTTTTTGCACTAACTCCAGAATGAACTGTCATGACATATTAATTATCCTTTGTGAGTATTATTCTCAGACGGCGCACCTATAGCAGAGCAACACACGGCAACTACCGCCTCGTGCCAATGCTGATTTGGAGCCGGGGTGAGAAAAAGCTAAGCCAACACGGAGTCCGGACAAAGGTCCCTCAGGTTCCGCGGTGACCGCACAATGAAGTAGACTAAGCCCTACGTACTGGTTAATTAACGCGGGATCATCGACTCGGAGCTTGCACAAAGTCTTTGTCATTTGATATGCTTAGCATCTAGTTGGTCATCTCACCTGAATGTTGGCAAATATATCGTAAACCTTGCTACGAGGTTCTTTTGAACTCCACAGCCCTTTGTGAAGTTTTCAATAATGCGGGGATAGAATCTGTATACAGGAAATCGTGACCTGGCGATGAGCACGGACAACTCGGTCAAAATCGACACGGCATGAATGGCAACCCACCCTGAATCCCGAATGAATTGAGCCACCGTGTATTGATCACCGTCAACCAAGATGACGAGGGATATGGTAATGGTTGACTTACAAACTATGCCGCTAAGATTCAGATCATCGTCCCTGCTTATCTCGTGCAGCATTACATAATCACTTCACCCACTGTTCGAGCATGGACGATTTCGACTCTTATGCAGAAAATGAATCTGGCGGCTCCACGTCACAATCTGCTGTCGAAACCAAGCCAAACGGACATGTGCCATCTAGGATCACGCTCGTCTTACCTTCGCTCAAAGCTATCAAAGCTGCGAAGTTGGGAAAGAAGTCGAACCTGAAAAACTTTGGGTCCATGCAGGATGCAGAGGCGAAGAAGGCGCCGAGGCCGATGAAGCTCAAACCGTTGAAAGAGGTATTGATGAAACTGATTACGCAGTTGAAAAAGTGAGTTTTTGGGAGAGGGGTACTTGGTTTTTGGGCGTGTGCTGATGGTGTGTGCGATGTAGGAAGGATGATTATGCGTTTTTCATCTCTGCGGTGGATCCGACGCGAGTGCCAGGGTATGCGGATGTGATTAAGCATCCTATGGATCTTGGGACTATGTCTACCAAAGTTGCCAAGGGGAAGTATCGCTCGTTGGAAGAGTTTACAGTGAGTAATACCCCTCTCGTATTTAAACCCTGTTCTTTGCACGCGGTCTGCGATTCAGATCATTATGTTTTTACACTCACGAATCAAAAAATATCGTAGCTAGACTCTTGCCGATGGTGCCTCACGCGACACAAGCTGAACTGTACATTTTTCTTTTCTTCAGACAGACTTCCGCTTAGTCGTCACCAATGCCAAAACATTCAATCCTCCCGGAACGATTTATCATACAGAAGCCGACCGCCTCGAAGTATGGGGACTCGATCATATCTCCAAGGCATCTGCGCATGTGATTGAATACGAGACGGATTGGAACATCGATGTGGAACAGGACGAGGATGCTACTTTGAATGTTGATGAGGAAGATGATCATATTACTGCGTCTACTCCGAGAGACATCGAAGGGAGTCAAGTTGCAGCTTCACCTGCACCGTCTTCTGTTCCCCAACAGTACATGAGGCGGGGGCCTCGAGGGCCTTACAAAAAGGGCACATCGATGGGTATCTCGGAGGGTCTTGATGCGGAAGGGAGGCTTCCTGGCTCGAAAGATGGTGTCGGAGCATTTCCTCCCGGCTCTGATTGGGCGGAAATGATGGTTGCGCTCAAAATAAAAGGTAATTACTTTCTGAGGCGTGTTGTAATCCGAAGTCCCTGACGATTGCGTGCCAAGGGAAGCGTTATAGAACTAAGAAAGAACGATTAAGAATTGAAAAGGAGGGCCTGCCCCACCTTCATGATGGCAGTCTCGACTATACAGAGGGTACGAAACCTTTTGCTCGTGTATACTGCCCACCTCTAACCGTAGATCAGTGGAAGATCCGTTTTCTCTGCTCAACGTCTTGGTGCCTGAACCGCTCTCTAAACCCCAACTTACTCCGTTATACCCTTCTGCTCAAGCAAATAATCCAGCACAAAGCCTCTTCCCAGCGCCAGTCAATGTGTCTTCCGCGCATCCCTCTCCAACACTGGCCACTAGTCTTACTTCGACTTCACAACCCACACCACGGCGCAGGCACTGGACGATTGTCCGTAATGCATCTACAAGAGCAAAACTAAAAGAGAAAGAGGACGAAGAGCCCCAGTCGACAGAATCCCGTGATCCATTTCCGTCTGACTTTGGCTCTTTTGCTGCATTAGGAGCAGAGCTAGGCGCGTCGGCATGCTCTGAAGAGAGACTGGCTACGTCTATACGAGCCAGCATCGAGAATCGTCCCATCAAAAGAAGCTTGAAAGCGGGGGTTGAGAGTGAGTACTGGACGGATGAGAAAGCAGAGGAGGCGTGGGACTACGTGCGGGACGTGGTATACGGCGGAGTTGATGGGTTCGCCTACGTTAGAAGCATTGCCGAGTTCGTGTGCCCGCCAGAGGAGTTTTCTGTGAGTTACCCGTTTATTCTTATTTGAAGTCTCTCAAACGCTCACACGACATACAGCGCCAGACAGAGCATACTCACCCCCTCGGCACATCCGTGGCTCGATACGTGGAACAACATCTGGTTGACGTCGTCACTCGTGGACGGCACGAGCTACTCCGCACCACAGCGGCGTACCTGCACTCAGTCTTGAAAGAGTCTCTGACACCAACGATGGAAGCACAAATGGCAGCCAGCCTCACGTTCCGGCCCACAGTGTTCCGTCTGATAAAGGCATTGCAACACGAGCAGCTGGATATGGCAGCGCTTATCCGATCCCCAGATGAGTTGGAGAAAGCTGGCTTAGGTGAACTTGGGATATCCGAGGGTCCCACGGCTTTGGAACAGGCATTGGAGTGTACCGTGCAAGCGCTAGAAGAGCTTGATAGGAGGGTGGAGCAAAACAAGGGGGTGAAGCGAGAGGAAGAGGATGTGATGGATGTGGACGGGGCTGAGGAGGACGTTGTAGCTAAGAAGCTGAGGCTGATGTTGTTGGCGCTTGCGAAACGTGCCCCGCTTGACAAGATCGCGCCTTTACCTGCTGCGCTTGTGCCAGCGCATATTCGGCAAATTGTGCCGACTGTTTAGGACGATGTTGCTGATACGTGGCAGACTTTGGGATTGGACTGCATTTTAGATTATACGTGTAAGTATGATGATAGTAGAAGTAATAACGACAGTTTTTGTGAAAGGTTTTGAAGGCATCTGTGCAGTCTTCCAAAAGACTGCGAACTCCCCATATATTATGTGGCCTATCGCGTCACTATGATAGACTCGCAAGCGAGCCGACACAGCGACGCCCTCAGCCCCTTACGGGCCTACGGCACTTTTGCCGATGAAGTTCCTGGCAGGTGGGCCTCTCGGATCCAGTGCTGTGTGGGGGTCTTCGACCTCGTGCCACTGACACAGCCAGGCCTACTAAAGCTGACCAGCAACTATCATCCTTCTAGTTGGTCAGCCCAGTACGGAACTTGCTGTGAAACTGATCGATACACTCGCTTAGGCCTCAAGCACGACTCGTGCCAGAATTTCTGCTCGTGTCGTCACTGTTGTGCGTATCTATCCTGATCTCACTCGATCTTGTGTTTATCAATGAGACGCTCAACAGTCAGCTGGGTGTCTCGTCAACCCATTGCGCTCCTCGGCTTATATCTCCCACTTGCGTTCTTCGCACTCCTTCGCTATAATAACATGGCACACGGCGTGGAGCAGTGTCGAGCGGCCTTGCAGGAGTGTCCTCCTGGCCATCCTCGTCGATCTGCGTGTCTCAGCGAGCTTGCCAACAGCCTTCGAAACAGCTTCCAGCAGCGGGGTGTCCCTTCTGACCTGGATGAATCCATTGAGCTGCATCGAGCTGCACTGCTGCTCTGTCCACCTGGCCATTCTGATCGATCCTTGTCTCTCAACAACCTTGCCATCAGCCTTCGGGACAGATTCAAGCAGCGGGGTGTCCTGTATGATCTGGATGAGTCCATCGAGCTCCTTCGAGCTGCACTGGCGCTCTGTCCCCCGGGTCATCCAGATCGATCCTCGTCTCTCAACAGCCTTGCCATCAGCCTTCAGGACAGATTCCAGCAGCAGGGTGCCCTGCATTATCTGGATGAGTCCATTGAGCTGCATCAAGCTGCACTGCTGCTCCTTCCACCTGGCCATTCTGATCGATCCTCGTCTCTCAACAACCTTGCCATCAGCCTTCGGGACAGATTCAAGCAGCGGGGTGTCCTGCATGATCTGGATGAGTCCATTGAGCTGCATCGAGCTGCACTGCTGCTCTGTCCACCTGGCCATTCTGATCGATCCTTGTCTCTTAACAATCTTGCCATCAGCCTTCGGGACAGATTCCAGCAGCAGGGTGCCCTGCATTATCTGGATGAGTCCATTGAGCTGCATCGAGCTGCACTGCTGCTCTGTCCACCTGGCCATTCTGATCGATCCTTGTCTCTTAACAATCTTGCCATCAGCCTTCGGGACAGATTCAAGCAGCAGGGTGCCCTGCATGTTCTGGATGAGTCCATCGAGCTCCTTCGAGCTGCACTGGCGCTCTGTCCCCCAGGCCATCCTCATCGATCCTCGTCTCTCAACAACCTTGCCATCAGCCTTGGATACAGATTCCAGCAGCAGGGTGTCCTCTCTGACCTGGATGAATCTATTGAGCTCCTTCGAGCTGCACTGGCGCTCTGTTCCCCAGGCCATCCTCATCGATCCTTTTCTCTCAACAACCTTGCTATCAGCCTTCGGGACAGATTCAAGCATCAGGGTGTCCTGCATGATCTGGATGAGTCCATTGAGCTGCATCGAGCTGCACTGCTGCTCTGTCCACTTGGCCATTCTGATCGATCCTTGTCTCTCAACAACCTTGCCATCAGCCTTCAGTGCAGATTCAAGCAGCAGGGTGCCCTGCATGATCTGGATGAGTCCATTGAGCTGCATCGAGCTGCACTGCTGCTCTGTCCACCTGGCCATTCTGATCGATCCTTGTCTCTTAACAATCTTGCCATCAGCCTTCGGGACAGATTCCAGCAGCAGGGTGCCCTGCATTATCTGGATGAGTCCATTGAGCTGCATCGAGCTGCACTGCTGCTCTGTCCACCTGGCCATTCTGATCGATCCTTGTCTCTCAACAACCTTGCCATCAGCCTTCGGGACAGATTCCAGCAGCAGGGTGTCCTGCCTGATCTGGATGAGTCCATTGAACTCCTTCGAGCTGCACTGGCGCTCTGTCCCCCGGGTCATTCAGATCGATTCTTGTCTCTCAACAACCTTGCCATCAGTCTTAGATACAGATTCCAGCAGCGAGATCTCCTTTCTGACCTGGATGAGTCAATTGAGCTCCACCGAGCTGCACTGGCACTCTGTCGCCCCGGTCATTTTGGTCGGTCTTCGTCTCTCAACAACCTTGCCGTTAGCCTCAGGGACAGATTCCAGCAGCGGGATGTCCTCTCTGACCTGAATGAGGCCATTTGGCTCAATCGAGCTGCATGTATGCTCTGTCCCCCCGGCCATTCTGATCGATCTTCTTCTCTCAACAACCTTGCAAACACCCTTCGGGCCAGGTTCCAGCGGCAGCGTATCCTTTCTGATCTGGATGAGTCTATTGAGCTCCATAGAGCTGCACTGGCACTCCGTCCCCCTGGCCATTCTGAGCGACCTTCGTCGCTCAATGACCTTGCCATCTGCCTTGGAGACAGATTCCACAAACAGAATATGCTCTCTGACCTGGATGAGTCTATCGAGCTCCATCGAGCCGTCCTGGCGCTTTGTCCCCCTGACCATTGTGATCGATCCTCATTTCTCAACGATCTTGCCCTCAGCCTTCAAACCAGATTCCATCGGCATGGTGTATCATCGTCATCAGACTTGGACGAAGCCTTCATGCTTTATTCACAACTCTCCCAAGTATCTCATGCAGTCTCTCGTAGCGATTTTCGCGCCGCCAAGTCATGGGCTGCCTCTGCCGAGCAGCTTAAGCACAACTCTGCACTGATCGCCTATCAGACCACATTGAAATTCCTGGATGAGCACGTTGCTGTTTTGGCGTCGTCTCCACACCATTTCGATGTCGTCAGGGAGGCCTCATCCCTCGCAATGGACGCATTTTCATGCAGTGTTCGTCTTGGTGTTCTGACAACTGCTGTCGAACTGGTGGAACGAGGTCGTGCAGTGTTCTGGACGCAGATGGTACGCTTCCGCACACTTTCTGCGTCAGGTGGCGAAGCCCTGGCAAAAGAGTTCATGCAACTCAGCTTTCGCCTGCGTCACGCATTCAAGGTGTCTACAGAAGACCAGTCCCCACACATACAACAACTGGCCGTGCAATTGGATGATGTCATCTCACGCATCCGCATGCTGCCTGGCCTTTCCCGTTTTCTCCTGCCTCAAATATTCTCTGACCTCCAGAGGGCTGCAGAAGGAGGACCGGTCATTATTGTCAATGCAAGCCAGTACAGCTGTGATGCCTTGATTATCCCGAGTGCCCACGATCCGGTCCATGTTTCACTCGATATTACACGAGCCGAGGTCTCCGAATTGTCCTCCGAGTTTCAGTCTCTCACAGAGCTTGTGGGTTCTTCTGATCATCAACTTGAATTAAACAAGATGATTGGTGTTCTGCGCACACTCTGGCATCGCATCGTTAATCCCGTAGTTCAGGCTCTCCGGGGTTTAGTGCGCCCTCACTCACGCATCTGGTGGTGTCCAACCGCTGAGTTCACGCTACTTCCTCTGCATGCAGCAGGACCCTACGAGGGGAAGAGTCATGATGGGAAGAAGAGCCATAATTTGTCTCACTTTTACATATCCTCTTACATCCCAACTTTGGCGGAACTCATTCGCGCGAGACAGCAAATTTCCCGAGATACGACCGGTCAGCACTTTGTTGCGATTGGTCAAGCGAACCCGGACGGAGCAAAGCTTCTTCGATGTATCGCTACCGAGTTATCCGTCGTTTCTCAGCGTCTCTCACCTCTCCTGTCCTTCACACCACCTGCCTTATCCTTCACGCAGCTCGCGGACAGTGATGCGACAGTCCGCGGAGTATTCGATGCGTTGAGCCAAAATCAGTGGCTTCACCTGGCCTGCCATGGAATGCCAAATCGAAAACAACCGTTCGAGTCTTCCTTTGCCATGCGTGACGGGCCTTTAACGATCAGGGAGATCATGCAATCTGACTGGCAGAATCCGGAGTTTGCATTCTTATCGGCTTGCCACACTACTGTGGGTGATGAGTTGAGCCCCGATGAGGCGATTCATCTCGCTGCGGCGATGCAATTTTCCGGATTTCGTAGTGTGATAGGTTCTATGTGGTCTGTCGACGACAACATTGCAGCCCAGATTGCCTCTGCTTTCTACAAGAACCTGATCGATGGTTCTGGGAGATTGGACTGCACACGTGCCGCAGTTGCGTTGCACAAGGCTGTCAAGACATTGCGCAAGGAAATTCCACTGGAACAGCGGATCGTATTTATTCACATAGGTGTCTAGTTTGAGACTCCTTCGGACTATTTTTATCTTTATTTGCTGTAAGTACATCGGTGATCCATATCCTGTCGGCATACACTCTGACAATGTATCTAGATCGCGCGACCACTCTTGCTAACTGTCCAGATCTGAGTGGTATCTATAATGTTGCAATGGTGTTTGAGATGGCGGACACATATGAATCTTAATAGAGTGATATTCTGTTGCATTCAGTGGATTTAGAATTACAATCCGTATGGCATTGATAATGTTTGCTGCTGGTATAAAATTTATGTTACAAGCTTGTCGTGAGTCCCAGAACAGACACTGCCAATATGTGCACTTCAAGCTAGTGGCAATGGTTCTCCATTGTGGGTGTACTCTTGGCGACCTTATTCCTCCTCAGAATCACTGCTATCCGTATTCTCCTGTACGAGGAGTCGTCAAATACCGAAGTTGGCCAATAAGATGTGATACTCACATTGATGTATATCGGCACCTCTGTGCCATCCTCGCGGAGAGGTGCCCACGGGAGGGGAGGGGCGATCCATCTAGCATGTCCCTCGGTTAGCCAGCACGTCAGCCTCACGGAAGTAATGAGTGCACTCACAACTGTTCGCCTGTCCGTTCTGGGGATGGCGACGTCCGCCTGTTACGAGGGTGCCTGACATGTAAAAGTTCATACAAAGGGGTGAAGCAATGCTCCGTCTTGCATCCGTGGCGTGCTAATCCAGTTTGTGTGTCACTCCACCATTTCATCGTAGCCTTCGCTTCAAGAGTGCCCACGGGTGCCACAACGGGAGCGGAAGCTAGAAGAGCCATGGTGATCTTTTCACCAGCCTGCACCTGGATAAGTATCATCAGTTCCGATGAGATGCACTCACTTGTATCTGAGAGGTACAAAGAGTAGGCAGGACAATAAAACACCTTGGTTACGAGATGCATGGACTGAAGAAGTTGAATGCTCGCGAGCTTCCCAAGGACATCTGACGTAATGTGTTTTATACGAGGGTTGTTCATGAGCAAGACAGCACCAGTGGTGCCTTTCTTGACCTGCCAAGTCCCTTTGATACTAGCTGTAGGCAATCCCAGGGACACCTCTGGTGGAGCCAATCGGAATGTGATCATATCAGGAATAAGACGGAGGATCAAAAGCTAAGGACTTGGCTGACTCACGCCTGAGACTCGACATTCAAATCGATGCGTTTCACGTGTTTAGACCAAGTTGTAAATTCAGACTCGTCGGGACAATCTTTGGGATGATGCTCGTCAGAGTCAGGGTTAATGCCAGCATTGACGAGAAGCTGCTTGAATTCATCCGAGTAGATGTTGCCTTGGACGGACAAGTCACCCGTTGCTTTGTCGATCCTTCCGTACGACCCAACCTGCTCCACGTTAACATACAACTGACGGGGAATTAATCTACTGGATAAGACGCACTCGCATTTCGGAAGGTGGGTCCCAGTTGGCATACTTTCCAGTTCGATCGAATATAAGTTCGATGAACTTGCGCTGCGCATTCGAATTCGGCTGGCTGTTCCAGGACCACCTTTGCATGGTGAGTATGCTTTATCAGTGGACCACGAACTGGAGGTTTATAAAGGGCTCAAGGCAGTGTAGCTGCTGTATCAAGGCAGTATGCTGCTGTGTGGCAGGCGCCAAAAAGTGGCTGATCTTACCACGACATAGGCAGATCTGCGTTCTAACATGTTGTTATCATAGCATGTCGTAGTAGATCTGTTTAAACACGATCGGTTCACCTGGGTTACCCGTTTGTAAGTAAGTTTTATCATAGTGCTGAGCGCTGAGCGATTATATGCCTCGTGCGGTTGAATGCGCGTCCTGGTGCCTCCAGATTCGGAACCAAGCTATGTAAGATGATATTGGCATCTTGGCCAAATGATGAGCAATGACTTACCTAATCAGGACGCAGCGTTTGGTGCCGCGGAAGCAATTCGCAGACAATGGACGGTACGCGTAATGTATTGAAGGAACGACTATGTAGTACATGTCTTCCTCCTTCCTAGTATATGGTAGGGAGACTACCCATGAAGTTCTCCGTGACCATTCAGTTTGCAATTGGACGATGCAGTACTATCACTCCTGGGAATCTGCAACTGGCATGTAATATGCAAAATGTTCAAAACACCTCAATGCGCTGCTTGAATCACCTCGAAAAAATTCATGTGTATGTAGGCTACTTAGAGATGATGTACTGTCCAAGTAGAATGAAAATTTCTCGAGTGTTGCAGCTGCGAGAGACAGAATAGTGGTGATTTGCAACCTTGTATAATCATAAATGATCTAGATCCCATAGATCCTAGAGAGATATTCAAAAAGTTACACCCGGAGCATATCAAACACCTCGTCAGGGTGTCAGAACACAATTTCGATAGAGGCCATTCTCTTGTTTTAAGATGCTATAGACAGAGGATTGACGACATGTATGAAAGCGTGACGGCAGATAGGAGAGTGTGTAAGAAATTCAATCTCCTCTCAGTGAAAGTTGACGGTGCCGCTACGGTGCCGATGTGTGACACGACGTGACCATGTTTTGCAGAATACCAGTCGGAATCATGGCTATACAGTAGATATTCTCATAATGCATGACGAAAAAATGCCAAAGAAATCCGACAACAAACCGACTTTCGACATGTAAAATCACGCACCGTGATAAAAATGTCATGCATCATGCTCTACTCATAATGCATAGTGGTGGTATATGGGCAAACATATCTCTTTCGTTTTTTATTAATTATTAATTATTATGCATTATGAGAATATCTACTGTATGTACCAAGGCTGCATATACTTCCGGTCATCGGCGTTCCAGCACTTGACCCATGACAGTGTCGAAACATATCCTAGTGGTAGGTGCTACAGGCAAACAAGGTCGCGCTCTCATCGAGGCTCTTCAACCCCCCGCGGACTTGGATGATATACCCTTTCGAGTGCTGGCTCTCACTAGGTCAGCTTCCAGTGCAAGCGCACAGCGCTTGGTCCAGGAAAGACACGTACGAGTAGTGGAGGGAGACCTCGACTCGCCAGAGTCCATACAGAAAGTTTACGAAGATGCAAAAAGTTCAGGTGGCATATGGGGTGTCTTCTGCGTTCTGGCACCCCCTGGGCTTGGTGCGAATCCAGACGGGGAGGAGCGACAGGGAAAGGTGCCATTTGTTTCAGACATCTTGTTGCTCATGCACACTGACACTGGAGTACAACAGTCCATGGCGGATCTAGCTCTCGAATATGGGGTGTCAGTATACATTTATTCAACCGCCGAACGTGGTGGTGAGCAGATTGATGAGAAGCAGCTGTCGGGTCGTGCCAAAGTACTTGCAGAGCGGCATGTCCAGGCCCTCGGTGAGAAAGGTCTCCCATGGACGTGAGCCCTTCAAACTTGAGACGGAACCTAATTAATGGTGGAGTATCAGAATAATGCGCCCAGGATTCTTCCTAGATAATTACACCGACTTCATTGTCACCGTCGCTGTAATGACTCGCGGGCTCAAAAAGGACTCGAAACTCGGGGTGGTTGTAAGTCCTTCTATTGTATATGTCCGTATGCTGTTGTAAACTCCACCAAGGACCCGAAAGATATCGGTCATGTTGCTGCCGGTGTGTTCAAGGTAATGCATTTTCGACGGGAGAAGCATTAACAACGACTGACAACTCAATTGAAGAATCCTGAGAAATACAAACATCAGATACTTGTGGTTGTCGAAGATGTACTCACCATGTCAGAGCAACATGCATCCTACAAACGCGCAACTGGTCGAGCCCTTCCCTCCGTTCCCGGATTTTTAGCTACTATGCTGTTAGCGTGGAACAAGGCGGCACAAGAGTTGTGAGTTTTCATCTGTTGCTCATTTGCTACTCCTTGTGACGTCAATATAACTCAGAGTTCGGCATTTCGAAAGCATTCACAATGCACGAATCACTGGGCAATACGAGCATTTTGAATCTCAACTAAACCTAGGCCGCAAAGCTTATCCTCAAATGAAGACAGTTTACGATTGGGCTGTCGAGCAGCAGAAGAACAAAGGACAACAAGAAAATGCAGCAGATTGGAACAAGGTATCGTTATGGCGGCTTATGCTAGGAAAATCGTAATGTATCGTAGTAAACAAGCTCACTCATACACCTTTGCTCAATTATTCCCTTCTCGCTTACGACTACTTACGCATCGTCCCAGGAGTAATCCAGCACGCACTGCCAGACTCGGATGGAAACCCAAGCATCATGAACATGACCACGCACAGGTTCGAAAGTGATCCTGTTGCCTCGGTATAATCATAGTATCTGCGAATGGAATGATAAGTTCAATTCACCGAGCATCGATGGCGCTGCTACGATTAAGTAGTTGATCTGTTGTTTTGTGTGTCACAGTGTATTCTTGCTCAGAGGTACGTCGGTGCGTGTCACGAGGTGTTACAAAACTCATAACTTACCTGCGCACAAGACTTCTTGACCATGATTAACTGTGACTGCGAACCTAGTCTTGAACGGGACGTTCTGGGAAGCGGAGTTGAAACAACACCGCTGGTTCTAGGGACCGGGAGAACCCGAAGGAGGGATTGTACGCGAATTCTGGTGTTCCTTACAGCCCAGACTGAATTCTGGTCCCTCCTCAGGGGTGTCGAACACTGTTGATGTGACTATCGGGCTACTATAGAACTGCCGAATTCCCACTGCAGTGCTGAGTGTGTAGACCTCACGAATCTCACTTGTTCTGATTCCCGGAAACCAGTGAAGCAGCGCTTTTTTGTTTTCCCAAGGGTAGTCTCCGACTTCGTCATCAATACTTGTGGGATGATCATCCAAGATAATCCCCGAGCCCAGACTGTAGAATAACGATCATGACAAGTACCATGGTAGGAAAGATCCAATTTATCACTATCGTTTGAGGCATATAGGTGAATTCTCAGGCTCCTTCCTTCGAGTGTGAGGCCTTGAGGGGCTGACTGCGAGTGAGGAGTATTACCTAGTATTACAAAATAAGGTCTTTCTTGAATTCACATGCGCTTACTCGTTTCCGTGAGGGTGTGTTTCGGGCCCTTGTGACTTTGCTCAAAGGAGATGTTCGGTCCCATACCGATTTTCCGTTCGCACTTCGCGATACCTTGCATGCTTTTTGTCGCGATATTCTGCACAGGCAACCTGAAGTGTGCCTCCCGTCATGTGCATGGACATCGACGGAAAATCTTGATTTGTTCCTTGGTTCTTTCCGCTGGTCGGTTCTGATTTTAATTTATTTAGTTGTAGGACGTGATGGCATGATTGATGGTGAATCCCTGGTTAATAAAGCTGCCCAAGCGGGTTGTTGATTGTGTTGTTAGATCAGGATGGTTCAGTGACTATGGCCGAGGAGATTGCTGCAGCTCACGCATTGGATATGAGTGTTGGACATGCGTCGGTGAGAGATCAGTTTGTTCATCATTTATTCACGGGTTCTTGTGTTATTAAGGGTCACCTATATCTCCGTGTTTGAAGCTTTAAGCCGCTTTATTTCGTCGGCTTGTTCGTTAATTTTACCCAGAAATTCTTGCCGCGTGTCATCGAGCAACTTCTGAAACGAGGCACTGTTAGTTGCTGCTAACGAGTGCACCACAGAACCACCTAGTATGGTTATTGTTGGGTAAGCGAAACGGTGAAGTAATCGCGGAAAATTATGACGCTGCCTACCTTTCTTTTTTTTTTTTGCCTCAGGAAGGCTTTGACTCTCTGCCTTCAGTTCCGACAATTCTTCTTGTTGTATAAGGAGTTCTGCGGACATCCGCACCTGATTTTCCTTGTTATCGTTGATGAGTGTGCGCAATGCATGGGTCTTTAGCATTTTGAACAGCACAGTGAACCTTTGGTCTGATGGCGCAGTGACGGAGAGGCTTGTTACTGGTTCAAGGAGATTGTCACTGGTGACAGGGTTTGAAGCTAAATGAGACGAGCACGGTTGTAAGTGTGTACACTGTATGGATAAATGAAAAAATCGAGTTCGTCCAGTAGGATCGGAGAATTTGGGTGGACGAGATTGTTCCTGCTACCCCTGTCACGTGGGTCTTATGGAGGGAGTCCCGCATTTCACTAATTTTCTCATTTTTGCAGCGTCGGGTTGAGCCCTTGATATTTAAACAGTCGGTCGAAAGCCAGTGTGTCATTGACCTTAGGTGAATGATCATCTGCGATCGACGCGTTCAAGTGCGCCAGGCTGCCAGCTGCCGGACAGCTTCGTTCGTCCACCATTGCTGTTCATGTCTATATCTATTACTTTCTGCTACTACTATCACTTGCTCTTTGTGCTATAACTCCAGTCACATCTTGCAATGAAGATGCGAGGTTCTTCGACGATTCTAGATGGCGACTTCACTCGTTCCGTCGATTCCGGTTTCACGGATATCACAACGGACCATCCACCTAGTGTCTCTTGTATTGCTACAGCCTCTTCCCCATGACTCTCGTCGCACGAACGCATCAAGTCCGCTTCCAAAATCCTCCGTGACGGCCGCATATCTATCATGGACTTCAGGCTCACGATCCTCGATCCTTCGGAACTCGATTTTGCCTACAAGCGCGACTGGATTTACAACCGTTCAATGGCTCGCCTCATATGACGGGCTGATTACCAGTCTAGGTTGCTTGCAGCAAAGGTACTGATTCTTTACCGGTTCATGTTTCGCTATCGCTTTTCATACATTCCACCACTAGCTCATGTTCGCCGCCTTTCCGTGATCGTACGTTATGCCGACATGGTGATCATATAAGATCATTAACATTGAATGTAAAACACCGGCGCCTCGTCAAGACTCCGAGTAACCCTCCCCAATGCCGATGAAGCGTTGATTATGACCATGGCCAAGCACCCGCGAAGCGTACGCAGTAATTCGTGAACCTCAGTCATTTATTTACTGTACAAGCGCAGTATCATGGTACTGAACGACATCGAATACACGTGTGTGGGAGACACGTTGGGTAGTATTAGTACCAAATGCTAGTACCAAATGTCCGCGGTGTCGCGTAGTCAGACGTAGTAACGGTTGATAGCACAGATATACACAAGTAAAGAGCGTGGATCTTATAAAAGCAAGAAAGTAAAGTGAGACTCCAGCAGATGTGGGTAATGAAGATGTCCTTCGTAAATATCTAATGCGTGGCATCACAAGATGCCCCCGATCCAAATTGGTTTGACCCGGCGTTGTCACTGCCGGGATATTGGGCTAGTCGTATTAATTCCTCATCATGAACAGTCCGTGGCTGATCGCTACCTGCCACTGACCTGCTATCGATTTTAAAGGCCTGTGCAAAAT